TGTGTGTGTGTGTGTGTGCCCCCGCGCACGCACGCATGCACCAGCATGCGAATGCACATTTGAACTTTCAAAAATGCAACATCCAAAGCACATGAACAAGTTTTCTTAATTTTTTAAAAAAGATTTTATGTATTTATCCATGAATGACAGAGAGAGAGAGAGAGAGAGAGAGAGAGAGAGAAGCAGGCTCTTCGCAGGGAGCCCGATGCAGGACTGGACCCCAGGACCCCAGGACCCAGGATCACACCCTGAGCGGAAGGCTGACACTCAACTGCTGAGCCACCCAGGCACCCCAGTTTTCTTAATTTTTTTGAGACATTCAAACACATAACAAGAAAGTTCTCTCCCTTTTTATTGTTTGTACATTTCTCTTTTAGCAGCCGATGTACATACAGGCTAACCTTTTAAAATTGGCTTTCTTTCAAAGTTTTGCAAAAATTGTGATGTGGTGCTGGACATAGGAATCAGATGTTTCTCCTTGACCTTTAGGAAAAATCCCAGAGACCCAAAGCTTCAATGTATGTTCAGAGCTTGTGCAAGTTAAAACGAAGTCAGACTAAGCACAAAGACAGCATACACACCCCAAAACTAGGACTTTAAAATCCTTTTACTGTGTTAACATGTTTGAGTCTTCTTGCCCGGAGCATTTCTTCACAATGGCTTGGAGACCGGCACACTTGAACACTTTTCAAGGTGTAACTCTGTTTCTCTAAGCCAACCTGGCTGTATGGCAATCAAAACGGAAACTGAAGGAAAGGTATCAGGGCAACCTGTTTATTCTAGGGATATTATGTTGTATGGATATCGCTCAAATTCAGTAGGGACTCTACCCACTTGTTGAGGCTTGTTTCTATGAAAAGAAGATCTTTACTTGACAGATGATTGTTGCTATATTTCAGGGAGACCAACAGGAAAAACTGTGATTTTTTTTGAACAATTTATTTAGGCTTTTCCTTTACAACCACCTTGAATTTTATAACTGATCGTGGAATTATCTTGAATAGATGTCTGAGAATCCAAGAACTGATTCGTGATCTGCTTTAAGCACAACATAGGACTTTCTGCAAGACGATCGTGCCAACTAACTTCATTTTGGCTTCCTTTTATTATTTATCCTGACTTTCCTTTCCTTAATTGCTGTATCTAATCTTGCTCTTTTCTATATAGAATACATACTCTCCGTAATGCACATAATATAGAGGAATAGACACATTGTAAAATAGTATGTTTTTGTCGCCAAAAATACTTTTTCATGAAAAGGAAAAATTTAAACAAACAAATGAAATGAAATTAATCGTGCCCTCAACCAGTAGTGTTCTGTTTCTTAATTTATCTTTTTAATGGATCGTTTTTTTCTACGTGTTGATTTTGTCCAAACAAGTTATTGGAGTCCCTTAAAAATGAGTGGAAGAGGCCTTTGGTCTCATTTAGAAGAGTCTTCTCTGCCCTATGGCCTAGTTTTACTTCTCTTTCCCCCTTTCATTTTGCTTTTTGCATGCCCGCCTCTAGACTCTCCAATCAGCCAATCTCCTTCGGCAGTGCCCCCTACACTCAATCTCCAGTCCACCAGGGAGTCTAACCTAGAACTGAATGTGCACATTAATGCCCTAGGCACAGCCCCATGTCCTGAGGATATGGTAAATTGTGTAACAATCCACTCTCTGGTTTGTTTCAGGGAAGCTGACAGGTCTATATGGAAAACATCACAGAGAGTGGTATGCTGAAAAGAAATAATCATACAGAGCCTCCCCTGAGGAGCATTTAGGTCCGTATCATTAATCTTTGGTGCTCTCCTATGAAAGAGGCAGTAGGTGAGCCCTCTCATGCAACGTTTTATAAATGAGGGAATGGGGCAGATCAGTGGGGGCAAGCCTGGGAGTGGGGAGCTCCTGCATGGTGGGGGAGGGAGTGGGGGTGCCAGGAAAGGAAACCAATGACCCTGGAGGTCCCTACCACACTCAGACTCCTTCTGACATCTCCCATACGGGTTGCAGCCTGAGCAAATACAGGTTTTATCGTTTGCAAGAGTGTTTAACTTTTCGGGGGAATCATATCCATACAAGGCCATTACAATTCCTTGTGCTTGGTTGTATTCTCCAGCCCAATCTCCCCCCCCACCACCACCACCAAATGTCCTGCTGTCAGTAGCCACCAATGAGTTTAAATTCCAGGCCTCCAGGCAAAGGTTTTCTCGGGGTCTCTCTGCTTCAGCTCACCTCTTCCAGGAACGTTCTGACCACCCACTCTTGGGATTTCTTCCCCAGGCAAACCTGGGGTGATTGCCCGGCCCCAGCACATTCTCTGACGCCTCATTGTCATACGTGTTCAGTGTACTGAGCTGAAAATAAGGTGGCGGCAAAGTTGGCTTTGTCCCCAATCTTCTGCTACACAGCTGTGCGTAATGGGCATGGTTCTGCTTTTACCATTTTGCAGCCTGGATTACTTTCTCTGCCAAGCTGCGGGTCTCCATATGTGGCTTATTAACCGTTCATATGAAAGTGATAACTAATCTCCTTCGCCATTCTATTATTTGGAGAACTAACATCCACGATGCAACAGCAAAAAAAAAAAAAAAAAAAAAGTAAAAATGAGAAAAAAAGATAGCAAGACATCAAAATAGAATCATTGGTAATAAAATAAAAACAGAAACTCCTACGGGATAGTGTCTTTCCTGCATGATGGAGACTAAGCAGGTTTGTGGTACAATCTAAAGTGATATAATTTTTGTAAGTTCCAGGATGCTTTTATTTTTTCAACGTGCTTAGAGAGGTATCTCTTTAGAAGCCCAAACAACTGTTGTGAAACAAACTTCTATTTATCCAGAAAGCAGAAAGCTAGAAAGTTAAAACTGAAAATTCTGTGCAAGCATTACATTAAAATAATAGTAATGACTGCTGAGCACTCAAGCCATGGTGGACACTGCAAAAAATACTTTATAAGCACTACCTCATTTAGTACTCATAACATAGACGAGAGAGGTTTCCCCATTTGGCAGATGAGAAAAAAATAAGTCTCAGAAAGATTACGTGACTTGCCCAAAGTTACACAGCTAGTAAGCCGCACAGCCTGGATTTGAACCCAGGTTTTGTTCTATTCCTGACTCCGTGATCATCATTCTTGGGTATTGCAGGCTTCTAAAGTGTCTTCTGAATTGCTACGTGAAAATTTACTCCTTGTGTGTAGCACCATATTTTTCATTTTATTTCAATTCAATTTGCCAACATATAGTAAAACACCCAGTGCTCATCTCATCACCTGGCCTGCTTAATGCCCACTATCCCTCCACCCACCTCCCCTTCTGCAACCCTTTGTTTCCCAGGCATCCTATTTTAGTATCAAGTCTGTTTTACGGTCTGCGGAGTCTGCATAAGCTTTGTAGAGAGAGAGAGAGAGAGAGAGAGAGAGAGAGAGAGAGAGAGAGAAACAGAAAGAAAAAAACACCACCTCACTGAATGAAGAAATCCGACTTCTAGTTTCAAGGGATAGTGTGTCAAATGAAATCATGAATGTGAAAAACCTTTGGAAACTATAAAAGCATTCTGCGGAGAGGGGAGACTGCCACTGCTCTTAAAAACGTCAAGCTGGGGACGCCCGGGTGGCTCAGCGGTTGAGCACCTGCCTTCCCCCGGGGCGTGATCCTGGAGACCCGAGATCGAGTCCCCCGTCGGGCTCCCCGCAGGGAGCCAGCTTCTCCCTCTGCCTGTGTCTCTGCCTCTCTCTCCCTCTCTGTCTCTCATGAATAAATAAATAAAATTAAAAAAAAAAAGTCCAGCTGTATGCGCTATGCGGGGCGATTCCCAGGTGACCAGAATATTCTGCATCCAAGCACCTGCTTACACCGCTAACTCGGGAACAAGCGACCAGTCCCGGCGGCTGCAGAACCGCGCGGGCGTTAGGAGTCAGGGGCATGACCACCTCGTGCGCTTCCGATTCGTTTCTGGGCCACGGCCACGGCCACTCACTCGCCTGGCCGGGGCGGGGGGGTCCGGGGGAGGCGCGCGGAGGCGTCCCGGGCCTGCGCCGACCTATGTCCCCAGCTCCCCCTTGCCAGGCACAGAAGCCCCGGACGCGCAACGGCGTTAAGATGCGGAGGCAGGATGAACCCCAGCGGGGTCCCCGCCCGAGGTGTTCTCGGTCCCTGCAGCCGCGGGCGGGCGGAGATCAAGGACCCGCCCCCGCTCTCACCTGCTCCCAGGAGTTTCGGGGGCTCACGCGGCGCGGAGCCTGCGTGAAAGCCGCTCAGGGCACGAGCATATAAGGGGTGCTCCCCCCATCCCGGGGGGTGCGCTCTGCGCTCGTCCCCCGCCTGCGGCTTGGAGGGAAGCGGCGGCCTGGCCAACAAATGCAGCAACTAGGGAACCTCAAGGTTTTAGGGACCCCAGGTGGCTTCGCCCTGTAAGGTCGAGCCGTCTCGGGGCGTGGAAGGGCAGCGGGGGAGAAGCGTCCGGGGGGCCGGGGGGTCAGGGGGGCACACGGAGGCGCCCCAGGCCGGCCCCGACCTTCAGGAGGGACCTGACGCCAGGAAGGAAGCCGGGTAAGCCCGGGGCTCCGCTCCCTCCCTCCCTCCCTCTCCGCGGCGCGCGAGCCGGCAGCTCCTCCTCCCCATCCCCTCCCCCCTCCCCCTCCCTCTCCCTCCTCCCCCTCCCCTCCCCCCGCGGAGCTAGCCCGGGGCAAGATGCGCACGGCCGCCGGCCCCCCCACCCCGCGCGGGAAGAGGCGAGCGGGGAGGGCGCGGCCCCAAGCGGAGCGCGGCGAGCGCGTGGGTCCCGAGCGCGTGGGTCCGGAGCGCGCGTCCCGAGCGAGGAGCCCGGCACCGGCGGCGACCCGCCCCAGCCCGTCGTTGGCCTTGGCGCCCCCCGGCCCCCGCCAGCTCCCCGACACCCCGCCCGGTGCCTCGCGCAGGTGGCGCGGACGCCCCTGCCCCCCGGCGCCCCCTGCCGGCGAGAGGGCGGCGGCCGCGGCGGAGCGGCGGGGCGCGGGCGGCGGGAGAGCTGCGGCGGCGCCGGGAGGAAGCCGGGAGCCTCCCCGATGGTGCCGCCGCCTCCGAGGCGGGGAGGAGCGGCCAGGGGGCGGCTGCGCGGGAGCCTGGGGCCGCTGCTGCTGCTCCTGGCGCTGGGACACACGTGGAGCTTCCGAGAGGAGCCCGAGGACGGCGACAGGTAAGCGCGGCCGGAGCCCGCTCGGTGCGCGCCCGGCTCGCGGGGTGCGGGCGGCCCCCGGCAGCACCCCGGCCCCCCCGGCAGCGCCCCGGCCCCCCCGGCAGCACCCCTGCTCCCCCGCAGCACCCCGGCAGCACCCCGGCACGGGCTGGGCGCGCGACTGCCCGGGGCGGCTCTAAACTCCGCGCCCCGCCCGGGCCCCCATCAGTGGGTCGGGGCTCTCCGGTCCCCCCCCCGCCCGGGGACCCGCGCCCGCCGACCCCCCCCCGCGCGCCCGGCCCTCCGCGCCCCCGCGGCCGCCCCGCCAAGTGGCCGCCGCGCCTGTCGTCCTAGGGAGCTCTGCTCGGAGAACAAGATCGCCACGACCAGGTACCCGTGTCTGAAGCCCTCGGGGGAGCTCACCACGTGTTTCAGGTAAGCCTCCGGGCTCCGCCGAGCCGCCGCCGCGCACCCCGCCTCGCTGGGGAGGAGGCTCCGCAGAGGAGAGGCTCGCAGACGCGCCGGGCGGCCCGGGGCCGCGGGGAGCCCCTGGGTGCAGCCCCCGTGCCGGGGCTCTGGGTGCGGAGCAAGGACGGGCGGCCGGGCGTGCACCCAGGCTTCGCGCCCCAAGGCCCCCGGGGCGCTTGCCGCTTCCTGGGATACTTGGCGAGGTGGAGAGGAGGAGAGGAGGAGGCTGAAAGTCTATACAGAAAGTGGGTTATTGGATTGCGGGTGTAGACTGTGCACCGTAGGGAAGACGCATGGAGGTGTTTGCATTTGGTTTCGAAAACAAAGTTGACAAATACTTGGTCCTTGACTATCTCTTGACCTTCTGTGGGGACAGAGTGAACACACTCACGGCCTCCGTGGGCACGAGGATGGAGGTGGCTTGTGGGCTGTGGACGCGGTTGTGTTGACCCCGGGGAGGAAAGCATGTGGAGTTTGTTGAGCCCCGAGGAGGGTAATTCCTGAAAGGGCAGTCCGCAGATCACCTGGGTGCTCCTTAAAATCACCCCTAACTAAGGCTGGGGGATCTGTAGGGTTGAAAAATGCTTCCCAGGTGGTGGTTATTCTCAACAAAAAAAAAGTTACTGTTCCCTGCTTGCAAACCCCCCGGAGGTGAGGGGCGATTTGTTCTCACCGTGGAGTTCTTGGCTTCTGGTCCAGTGCTTTCCCTGGATGAGAGGCATAAACCCATAAACACAAATTGCTTTTTAAAGGTACCATGTAAGTTACGGGGAATCACAAAGTCATGCCAGACTGTTTGAGAGTCCTATGCTCTGGGGTGCCAGGATAAATATTGGGTAGTACCAGGTAACACGGCAATCCCCAGAAGTGAATTTGGGGGAAAAAAAATTAAAAAGATCGACTCTGTCTAATGTTGTAACAGATGAATCAATCACCATGCTTGCAGAGCCGCAGAAATGTCAGCTCACATGCTCAAAGGTTCGGATATAAGTGGTTCCAGGGCTGGTGAGCTTGTGGTGCAAAAACCAGTAATCAGTTCCATTGCATGCCGTGCTCTCAAATCTGCTGTTGGCGGTGGAATGACCACCATCCTTTAAGGGAGGCAATGCTGCTTGGGCTTGGGAGGGGTTGTCTTCTCCAGGACATGGGTGGTAGACACGGAACAAATGTGCTGGGGCCAGGCGGGGGGAGTGTGTTCAGTTAACCTGAAGGCAGCAGGCAACATTTACCTGAAGGCGGGAAGAGGTTAACTTGGGTGAGCAAGGGCCTCCAGCAGGTTGAAGTGACTGCCTCCCTGGTGCTAGTCCTGTGTTATCCGCATGACCACGGTATTAGGACATGTTGTTTGCTTATCCTAGCACAAAGCCTCTAACTTCATGGGGAACGTGTCCCTGAGATGGTTTACTCATTTGTTCAGTCCCTGAAGGTCAAACTGTACATAAATCAGTGGCACTTGCAGAATGCATGTCCAATTTCCAGAAACTGCCGGTGCCTGATGAGTGTTCTAAGTTGATTCTGTCAAACCGTTACCCTCTTCCCTAGATTTTCTTTTTTTTTTTAACTGGTGGGGGGTTTTGGGTTTTGTTTTACACGAAGACTCAAGAGCTACCATTAGGGTCTTGATAAGTGTTCTTATTAACAGCTGTCCAAAGGAAGCTTGAGAACTAACAAGGATAATTTTGCATCATGGAAAAGTAAGGAACTTTGTTTAGGGGAGTGCGTGGAATGGGAAGGGGGGTGCTTCAGCTAGGGAAAATGGGCATTGGTCCCTGTGAATGTCTTCTGGTTTTATTACTTCCTTCGTGGACGTCCAGAGTCCTGTGCATACTCCATTGACTATACCCTATTTCCACAGCCTAGTACTTTCCTCAAGACCAAGTTGGTTGGCAGTTGCTGCGCCTGTTTGCTCATGAACCCCAGGAATGAGGGATTGTTTGGTTTGTGAATTGATCATCCAGCCCCTGTAGACTCTTGTTCACTCCACATGTGATCTGGAAGCCAGCACCAGCATCCTCTAAAAGCTTGCTTAGGGTCTCCAGGCCTATTGCAGATCTCTCGAATCAGAGTCTGGGTGTTAATGCGATGTCCACTCAAGGCGGAGTGCTTGCATAGAAACTGTCCATCTGGTCGCCACACAAACCCATGTAAACCCTTAGAGAGGCGCAGAGGCTTCTGCAGATTCCGGAGTTACTCCTACCACATTAACCAAAAACGAAAAGAACCAGCCTTCGATGAGACCAGACTCCCCAACTCCTGGGTGACCCTTAATGAAACTTAAGTACAGTAGCAGAGCTGCTTGGGAAACTGCCAGATGGCCCCACTTTTCCCACTGGGCCTTTGAACAGTTCTTAGCGCAAGCGAGAACTGCAGAAGTCCCTTCAGAACTTGTTAAATGATTTTGTGACTTTATTTTTTTTTAATTTTTATTTATTTATGATAGTCACACGAGGGGGGGGGCAGAGACACAGGCAGAGGGAGAAGCAGGCTCCATGCACCGGGAGCCCAACGTGGGATTCGATCCTGGGTCTCCAGGATCGCGCCCTGGGCCAAAGGCAGGCGCTAAACCACTGCGCCACCCAGGGATCCCGATTTTGTGACTTTAAAAAAAGGATGAGTTTAAGAGTTTTAAAAAAAAATGGATGTGCTTACTCCTACTGTGTTCATGGTAGTATTAATTTGATCTGTTATTCCTGAAAGGATATGGAGATGAAAATAAGAGAGGTGGGTTCAGAAGGATTGTTCTGGACCCCTCCCCGTCACCTCTGTACACTTGTTTCACGTAGTGTCACCTAAGCACCTTTCCACATTCGCCTTTCCTATAACAGACAACCTGAGGACTTTATACTCGGCACCGTTCTGTGCACTTCAAGTACATTATCTCTAATCCTCTAAAGCCACTCTTGCGTTGGTATTTCAGTTTTACGGGGGAAGAACCAAAACCCCAGGATTAAGTAAAGTTGGTGAGGGTCACAAAGTTAATACACGTGGGAGCTAAGCTTCAAACCCAGGTTTATCTGACTTCAGAGTCTGGGCCCAGGCCCTTTCATCATCCCAGAGGTGTCTACAAAGGCAGAACTTTCAAGATCCTGGGATCTAAGGAAGATCGTTAACGCAGATGGCGGTAAATTCAAAAGACAGTTTGATGATAAACTCCAACATTCTCCGTGACCAGTGGGTTACCACTATCCTTGAGCTCCATCTAAAGCAACTGGCTTCATATTATCCGGTCATACACAAAATTGGTTCATGTGTATAGTTCTCATTTTTTATTTTTATTTTTTTTCTTTTTTTTAATAAATTAATTTTTATTGGTGTTCAATTTAGTTCTCATTTTTTAAAGACTTGATTCATGAGAGATACAGAGGCGGAGAGGCAAGCTCCCTGCAGGGAGCCCGACAGTGGGACTCAGTCTGGGAGTCCAGGACCACACCCTGGGGCGAATGCAGGCACCAAACCGCTGAGCCACTCAGGGGTCCCCAGTTTTCCTCTCTTGAAGGATTTCCTCTTAATCACAGGGTCTGTCTGTAGAGACCCTCTACTCCAACGTGCATTGGGCCAAGTGCCCAAACTTTGACAAATACTTGAGTGAATGCCGGTGACCCTTTAACAAGCTTAGGGTACGTATTGCTCAGCATTATAATCTGATGCAGGGTGTACTTCTTTACTAGTAAAGAATTCAGAGAATGGAGTGTTAAGACTGTTATAGCCAAACTAAGCATATAAACTGATCAGGGTGTTATGCTCTCGTGGCTGTTAGTTTTTCCCGAGACCATGTGGTTTTGAACAAGAGGTTCATGTTTACCTTTTATTCATTGGGTGTATCAGTAAAATGACACATCAAAGGCTTCTTAAAAATGAAAGTATACATTGTGTAGGAAGTGTCCAGAAAATCCAATCTTTTTTTTTAAAGATTTTATTTATTCATGAGAGACACAGAGAAGCAGAGACACAAGCAGAGGGAGAAGCAGGCTCCATGCAGGAAGTCCGATGTGGTACTCGATCCTGGGACTTCAGGATCACGCCCTGAGCCAAAGGCAGATGCTCAACCGCTGAATCACCTGGGCATCCCAAAATCCAATCTTTGAAGCAGTGTCCAGTAAACATCCTAAATTTCCTGACCCCAGTAAAGCTTTATTGAGCATCTATGATAAGCTTAAAATAGCCTTTAATTGCACATAGAAAAGTTCCTGTGTCTGTTCTGTTTATAGACCTGATTTCTTTAGAGTAAGACCTTTGAAACCAGTGCACAAATAGATGATCTAGTCCAGTCAAATAGTTCATACAGTACCGTCCGTGATGGGGGGGAGGCGGGGAGGGAAGAGATTAGAAGCAGCTAGGAATGGCTTTCTGGGCAAGAGAAAAATCCATTCTCCAACATAGTGTTAGGTGTTAAAATTGTGTTGGTTGTGACTTCCGTTCTGTGGGTCATGGGCTGCGGTGGCCCATAACTGCCCCCACAGCAGCATGTGTCTGTCCCTCTGGGTCTCATCAGGTACTGCCCTGAATCCTGCCCTTATGGGGCACAATGACCTAAGGATGCAGAAACTCCCACTTTTCCGTAATACAAGTGCTGCTGAATCCTGTTAAGATATGGTGGTTAACGTGCTATTTCTGCAAATGTGTTGCTTCTCCAAATCCTGAGTATAGTCACTTAGAGCAGTACTACCAGCTACCCTAGCTGAGGCCACATTGGAGGGAAGGCTGTATTATCTGGCAGGTCAGAGTTCCTGCAGAGGGCTCAGAGGTCGAAACCTGTGCAGTAATAGAAACCAGTCCCAGCTTGACTACGTTGTTTTTGTGACTTTGATCTTAATCTACTTCAGTGGTCTCCTTTGTAAAACGAAGACCCTGTTTAGTACTGAAGTTATAGGGTTATGATGAAGGATTGAATGAGCTGATACGCACAGAAAGTGATGAATATTACCCTGTTGAGCCTCCCCAAGTCTGGCATGTTGGGTGCATGTAGT